ATTATCTATAGAAGATGGTGTTGTTGTTGTTTTAGATAAAAATGGTGTATATTGTGTGCTTGTAGCAATAAAATAGACTGAACACTGAGCAACAAACGCAACCAAATCAATAAATAACATAAAACATCGTAGAACGGGTCGCGTATTACTTTTTGATAATGTTAATTTACAAAAGCTTGGTATTGTACATACAGCATTCATCAATAATAAACTTCGAATAACATCACTACTTGGCAAAACACGAAATACAAGTAAACATAGACCAAATGTATGAATACTTTCCAGAACGAATATCTAAATGGAATATTAATTGAACAGTATGATGCGTCAGCAACGTTCATTTCTACTTACAGTCAATAAATCGATCAATGCCGGTCCACGTTTGTTACGAAATAAACTTTTAGCTAACGATTCGAGAAATAAAAATACATATGGTACACATACAACGGCTACCAGCATAATAGACCACCGACTAGCATATTGCTTCTCCTACGAAAGTTAAACATGTATTTAGGAGAAACAATTTATTGTTATCATACACTTACTTGAAAACGATTTCCTAAACTTTGTGTCATTAGAAGAAATGAGCCTTTGCTGGCTACAGCAAATATCAAAACACCAATAAAATAGAATACATAGGCGGCACATTTAAACAACCGTTTTGCATTACGCATACAAAGTGATGTTTTTCCATATCTGTCAGCTGGTGACTCAAGCACACCCGAATCAACACCATAGACCATAATGACAATTAGTCTGATCGAGTGGAAAAATCTGTAATGGAAATTTGTTTTGATAAGTTCGATGTCTTAAATTGCAACTGTAGCGTACCAAGGATTTGAGATATCTTACAATATGTTCCCTACACAAAGCTCTACGCTAAACTAAAGATATGTCAAAAAACGATCAAGGTCCAAAGTTGGACACCCGAAAATAGGAAATTTCTCTTCATTCTTCAACACTGTTTAACTGCTGCTTTGGATAATGCGGATTAAAAACTGAAAAACTCTCTAAGGAATCTTATTTAAAAAACGTCGTCGTTCTAACTATTAAGATCCTAACAGATACTCATCCAATCCTGAAAAAATCGTAGACAGCATAATCTTAGTAAGATCTTGGAAAAATCTTATAAAATCTTAGAATTTTCGGGTCTCACGATCTTACTAAGATTTGTTCAAGATCCCAGACAAATATAAGCCAAATCTTACTAGGATCTTAATAAAATTTTTCTAAGACCTTAGTAACATTCGAGTAAATTTTTCACGAGGGATATCAACGGTTGTAGAGAAAAATGCAATCTAGAGAGAATAAGTTATATAATGGAACTCGTTTTTAGTACGAAGAAAACTAATGATATTTAAATGGTCTATTCCTTGGCCTAAATCCGGTGCTCTTACCGTACTATCTGAAAGTTTCTCTTCTCTAAACGATAATCAGTTTTAAATGAGTAAAAATAATTGTTTTAGATGATAACGTAACTTTCATAGTAAATATTGGAAAAGTTAACACATAAAGTTAGATAAGAACAATTGTCCATAGAACAGTCGGTAAACAGATATAACGAATTTCGATTGACAAAATAAAGAAGACAATAGAACAAAATCAATTTTCAAACATCTTTTCTCCTCTCTCTTGCATAATAAGCGTATTGAGAGAGACAGAGAGAGAAAAGGTTGTTGGATTAACTAAACAAAAATTTGGTTCATTCATTCTTTCATATTGAAACCAAAAGCGAAAAATGAAATAACGATCATGAGATCCATTTGTAAATAATTCCCGAACACAAAGCGATTTTTAGGAGTTTTTTTCGTTCTCCATTCTTCTGTTGATAATGTTTTACTAAACTCTAGATAAATTGCTTTCTCTCTTACACTACAAAGCCAATGCACGTGTGGTGCTCCATCTGTAAGATTATATATTAACAATTCCTCACACTATACATATATATATATATATTGATACCATGAATATTAGCCGATATTTCTTGCATATTACACATATGTTCTAAAACTCTCGAATGCTTCATAGACAATGTACAAGATGATCGTTCAGTTGTATGAACTGTGACAGAAAAAAACGATATTTAACCGTTAGGTAGGTGTGAGGGTTTTCCAATGATGTAAAAAAATTTCAGAAGCTCATTAGTGTTAATGAATGCTAATGACTTTCCTGCAAGCACCTTTTGATTGACCATAATTCCGAGGTAATTATGCTCGACACAGCAAAAGCGACTTCGATAAACTTAAACAACATATTCTCAACGGGGAATTTTGAGTAAAATTACTAAAAATTATATCATCTTATATAGAGTTCAAGATCTATCATCTGTATGAATCGCACGTTATTCAGATATATTGACATTCTTTGACTTTTTTACGTTTCTTATAAAACTAAGTATAATTTAATTAAGTATAATATAATTGAAAAACATTTTTGTAAAATCATTTTACACAAGAAGCGAGCTTTCGATACTTCACAGCAACATCATCAGGCTAATATGACTGTGAATTTAGAAGAGAGATTCATTTTTGTAAAATCATTTTACACATATTCAGGTTTACCGTTAATGAATTAACCAGCATCTACAAAAATGTGTCTTTTTTTGGGAATTCCTCTCATTGGAGTAATTATGGTTAGTCCACGTAATTTGCAGGGTAAAATTCGAGTTTGAATTCCACCGACTTACAGAGATCGCTTTTACACCAAACCAAAGTGTATAAGACATTGTTCTCTATCATATGAAGAGAAAGTAGAACAAGATCGCATGTTTCTAGCGATTTGTAGCTGTCTGATGAGTTTTGCCGAATTTTAGCACACTTTTGTACCTGATATTTGGCAGTCTAATTAAGGCGGCATCCTTAGCACTTCAGTAATTAAAAAAGTGTTAAACTTTTCATATTCTACAGATGTTTCTTTATCAAGTAAGTGAAAGAAAAATTTAAAGACATAACTTTTACCAGAATTACCCAACGTTTAATTGGCAGAAGTTGCAGGGTCTTTATTCTAATAGATAAAAACTGAAGATACAACGAACTGGTGCTTCACCGAGACCTTATGCCTGAAGAAAAAGAAAGCAGTTAGTCTTTTTTCCACAAAGTTTATGATATCACGAAGAAGTCGTTTGAAATTGTTCGTTGTTTTGTAGTTATCCCGACAGAAAATGAAGAAGATCGATACGGGATGCCGAAGAGTCCGTACTCGGTGTAGTTACAGATACCACCCATCGAGTCTCTCGTATTTATTATATAGTGAAGCGGCGAGAGTGGCTAGTCTTGCAGTGTTCCACTACGAAGCACGAATGGACGAGATAAAATATTTTCGAGTTCGATCGATACAGTCTTTGCTTCGAGAAATAAAATGACGAACCGAGTGAGATATTCGGGTACATACTTAGGGTTATCCAAAAGTAGTGGCGATGGTACTTTATTTCCGTATAGAAAGCTTGAGAAAACTTCAACTTGTTTTCAAAAGATGCACAATTAAATTCTCCACAAAATTGATGTTGACTATATTTTGCAGTAATGAAATTCTAAATTTCTAGAGGTCAAACACTTCGATGGAATCAAGTTCAACAACTTCCCATTGATTCTCAGAATGTTGTGCAAATTTTTTTCTGTACTAACGACAAATACTAAGAAGATCGGGTATTCATTTTTCTATAGTGCATCAATAGCTCTTTTAAAGATATATAATATCTTCTCGATCTGGTATCTGTTGCCGTAGCAAAAGTTCTTTTATTTAATTTTCACTATAAAAATTGCTCCTTTGCAGCAATTAACTATTTCATAACCCCATAAAAATATTTGTTCACTGTTTTTGTGGATGGAAGAAAGGTAAATCGCTTTCATATAAAACTTTGTATTAATGATCTTTTCTGCACTATAAATGGTTTTCTCATAATGTTTTTTCTGAAAACAGCAGCTGGAAGGGGAAAATCGCGCTATTCTTCGAAATATGACTTTCAGAAAAAATGTGATTCAATGAGTAGAAAGTAACAATGAAAATATCTAAGTATATGCAATCAGTAGATATTTTTAAGGACTATCTATTGGTGAGTCGTATTTGATGAGCCCGATATGTGTAGGGATTCTACACACGAACAATTCCAAAATTCAGTGGGAAGTGGTTGAACTTGATTCCATCGAAGTGTTTGACCTCTAGAATTTAGAATTTTATTACTGCAGAATATAGTCAACATCAATTTTGTAGAGAATTAAATTTCACATCTTTTGAAGGCAGATTGAAGTTTTCTCAAGCTTTCTATACAGAAACAAAGTACCTCCGCCACTGCTTTTGGATAACCCAAACTAATTTCCCAATGAGAGCAATGCCAAATAACAGAAAAGTACAGATACGTTTGATATAAAGCTATATTATATATATACTATTAAGTATCATGTGACTTCTATTGAAACTAATTATCTTATATAAGAAAAGCGGCTGACTTTTCATAAATATACTCATTTTGTGGGCTTTACTATGTCTTAAGTAAAGCATATATCTAAAAACTAATTTCATATCAGCGCTTTTTACAGATAAAGCGTGGCAGTAGGTCGCATCCTTTTTCGTCACACGAAGCTCTGTTTCATATCGCTTGTCTACAGTTGAATAATTAATATATTTACATGATCAAGAACAAACAAGTACAAGCGGCTGAATCAAGAGGGAAAAGTGCGAGAAAAGACTAAAAGAAGAAATTTTTCTGATGAAAAGCATAAATTCTCCTATCGTTTCACTCAGTTGATTTAAAGATAGTATTTTTCGTACACAGTCACGTAGGGGAATTATGGTCAGATAATCAAAATTTCGTCGTATTTCTGGCATAGTTTGTCCAATTTTGACCGGAAAAAAGCGATATTTAACCGTTAGGTAGATGTGAATGTTTTAATCGGGTCACTTCTGATATAAGTAAAAGATGAAAATATTTTCGTTTGTTACATTTTCATAAAATTATGATAGGAAAAAGCGCTCTTTCAAGGTTTAACATTATTACACCTTTAACTAGCAGAACGTCGGATAGACTGACGAGGGAACCTCTCGAGGTGATTAAAAGCTTTTCGACTCAGACTATTTTCATCATGTAGGGAATAGACAGTAGTGAAAAAACCCAAGTTGGTTTGGGCCCATGCGCCTTTTTGACGGAGATATGAGTTAATTAATGAAAATGCCATTAATAATAATTAATTAATAGCTCACGACCATGATCAGCTAGGAGTCGGAAATTTACACCACA